TTTTTGGCAGTAGGGATTAAAGTCAGGGTCTTGAACATGCTGGGCAAGCATTCTATCAGCCTTCTCTTTTCACAGTTTACCAAATTGCTCAGGGTGGCCTTGAACTCACTCTGTGGTCCAGGTGTACCTAAATTCACTACTATTCTATCCCAATCTCTGAAGTACCTGGGATTATAGGCCAGGACCACCAGGGCTGACTGTGAAACCACTTTTAGGTAAAGTTTTTCCAATGGCTATTGCCTTGTCTTGCCATGCTTCCCTGAACTTGGATGGTGTTGAATTCAATTAGAGAAAAAAATCCTTGGGTTCACAGGGAGATCAGTTCAGGCTTCTGTATTTGAGAAACAAGATGATCTATCATGACAATTCCTTGGGATTAAATGACACTACTGCCTTGTACTTATGCTTCGGGTCACTGAGGAAAGACCATCAAGTTAGAAATCACTAAGGGACCCACAGCTTGATTTAGGAACAAGACATGTCACCTACTCATTCCACAATCCAGGGGGAGGACAAAGAATTCAGATATGTCATACTATTGTCACAGTTTGACAACTACAGCTTGTGACATGAAAGAATGCTTATCGGTATGCAAGGCTTAGGAACAAAACACAAAAGATTGTAAATTGAGTGGCCAGTGGAGTGCCAGGATCTCACACACAGACTTTTAGCCTCAATCCTGGCCTCCTGAAAAAGATGACCAAGCCTATGAACCCCATCCCAACCTGTATCCTGAGCCCCAGGTGTCTTTAACAAATATGTCTATCTTTATTATCCCCAGTCAGAGCAAAATCACTATGTTAACAATTAAACTCATCTTTCCTTAGTATCCCCCCCATGGGTATTTCTCACCATGGGGAATCACTAGTACTGACATAACTGCTTAGACCCAAACCTGAAATCCCCTCTGGACTCTTCTTATCCCCTTCCCATCATCCACCACTCAACGTATCTACTTTTCCTGCCTCTTCAACTAACTTCTCTCTTTCTCACCATCAGTGCCTTAATCCAAACCATCTTGTATCTGGGTCACAGTTTTGTATGGGTCTCTAACTTATTTCCTTGCCCTTATTTTGGCTTGTTTAAATATATTTAATATTCAATATATTCACTATATTTTTGAACATTGTATTCCTTTCATAAACACAAATTAAACCACGTTGATCTCTGCATGAAGACCTTCAATGGCATTGACACTGCAGCCTTACACACATCTTCAGCCTCAGCTCTTTTACTCTTCCCTTGAACACTGACTCACAGCCATGTGGAATGCCTTTCTTGCTCCTCACATACCGCTCTTGGCCCGGGTGGCCTCTTCTTCATTTCCCCCTCACATTCTTCATACTAACATCCATAACACATGTGTGAGAGTTCAAAATAACACTAGCTGCATTCACTATAACCATAGTATACTGAATTTTCTCAATTAAACACATCCATATAATTAGAGCCCAGATCATGACTTGAAAGAGGCCCAGTACCTAGAGCATTCCTCATGTTCTTTGTCCCCACCTGTAAGAAAAATTACTACACCAACTTCAAATATCCATGACTAGTTTATCACAGTTCTACACTTTGTCTAAATTAAAACTAGTTTGAAATGAAAGCCTGTGTGGTTATCTGTTGATGTGTAATGATTCACCCAAACACTTATGTCCTGAAATGACCCTGAAAGCCCAGCTTTAGTCATCTCAGTCCTCACAAGCCCCTTCACCATCGTGCTCCTTGAGGACTTGGACTATCTCCTCACAGCTTTCCTCACAGTCTCCCTTCAACACATAGCATCATCCCAATTATTCATGAACATGTTCTGATCATTTCCTATTTGACCCCTCCATCGTCAGCCCACGCTTCAATCAGTTGCCAAATGCCAGTGGCTCACTCTCTGAGACCTCTAGTGAAGTGTTCTTCTTTCTTCCCTCGTGGCCTCTTGCCTGGACTCTTCCTCCCCACACTTCACATTTGGCCTTCTTGCTCTCAGTCATTCTAAAAAACTTAGATATATTTTTCTTGGATTAAAATCCACACTGGTTTTATACCCACTGTAGACTAAGATCAAAGCACTGCCAAGGCAGAGGGCTCTTTAACTGTTGTTCCAGTCTTTCTTCCAATGATTTCTGTAGAATACACACCCCATTCTTCAGCCATACTGAATCTTCACTCCTGGAGACTTGTCTGAAGCATTTCTGCTAGGAGCTTCTTGTGCCTGGAAATGCCCTTCGTCCCATTCTTTTCCTAAACATCAATTCATCCTTTACATCCTCTGTGTAATGCCACCTTCCTGTTAAAACCGTGTAAGTGGAACTCTTTACATGGTCCTGATCCCTACTATTAAAACCTTTACAAAGAAATATGATTGTGACGATGATATAAGTGACTCCGGACAACATCATTACTTTGCTCACATATAAACCCCAGAGCCTATCCCATAGTAGGTCTCAAAAACAAAAACAAAAACAACAAAGAACACTATTCTAAGTAAAGGAGTAGATGCTTAGCATTTGCTGAGCACTTATTCTGACAGGCACCTACACATACAACTTTATTCCATCCTCACTGAAGCCCTATGAAGAAGGAGCTGGTTTTATGCCAACTTTGCAAAGAGAGAAAAAGGAAACATATTTAAGTAACTTACCACAACCATAGAGTTGACCCATGGCAATTATATGAGCAAACCCCTAACTGCCCACACCCTAAAGACCTCGGCTTCACAGTCTAAGCGTTGTCTGCCCTGCATGTGCTTCTACTGTGCTCTTCAGTAGGTCAGTTGTTAATGGACGAAATGATCTGGGGGTAGTGTTAGTATCTCTATGCATATTTATCTCTCCACTACATTTCAAGTCTGTTGAGGAATAGAAGCTGGGTCCTATTCATTTTATTTTTTTCCCTGCCTCCCCAAACCCAAGCAGCCAACCCAGCATCTTATACATGTTTGTGTCTGCTAAATATTTATCAAATAAAATAATGGGTGTGATATTAAAAGGCAGCACTTGGCAGTGAGTCCTTTTTGCACAATCAGTGATTTTTGAGGAGACTGTCATGATGGTCGCCTTGAATCTAGGCGCAGCTGTTGCCTCTTCTAACTCTGTGCTTCTTCAGCATGATGTAGGCTCAGGGCCATCCCTGGCTGACCCAACGTCCACCCTGACCCGGCCCTCTGCCATCCTTCCTGTCCTCAGGAAGCTCCTCTGTCTGTCTTCCTGCTCTAGGCAGCTGATCACGCATAGCAATTCTGGCTCACCCTCTGCTTTTCTTGCCCTCATACCCTGCCTGAACCTTCCATTTCCCTGCACAGGCACAGCAACATGACACTCATGCAGATAATTTTCACTCAGAGAAGATAGTGATAAACAGAGCCATGGGGTATAAGTGTGTGTGTGTGGGGGGGGAATCCAATTAAGTCATTATCTTTTTTACCCTGTATTTATTTTTCTTCTGTATGTTTGCCAGTTATTTAGCATTGTTGATTATAATAGAAATAGGAGGCAGTTGAGCTAAAGGGGGCAGTTAGTAGAAGGATGAAGACATTTAGGCCGAGGTTTTAGGTCAGTGGCAGAGTGCTTGCCCTGTATGCCTCAGATGCTATGTTCAAACCATCTGATAGGAGAAATCCCAGCATCCCTAGGACACCAAGGTTAGTGTATGCCAGGCCTCCAGAAGAGATGGAAGCAGAACCAAACAATAGTCTAGCTTGACAGGACTCCTTTTCCTGGTCTGGCCTTCACCCTCCATATACACTTGCTTTATTTGTGTCTTTCTGTGGCTCTCTGCCTACCCACAGAGCTCAGCATGAGCACAGGGGTCAGGGCTATTGAATTTATGTATGGCAACAATCTTCTGGGAACACTACCATATTGTCCCAGGATAAATTAGGTGCCCACCTGTGGTCCATTGAAGAGGGTGATACTATAAAACATGGCTGCCATTGGCTCATCCCCATAGGAAAGATAAAATAGAAAGGGCCATTGCAACCTGAGAAAACTTTCCAGAATTGTCTGCTAGTCTTGATTCTGCATCTGGTAAAGTTGTTAAGAGCTACACTGTCCCAGGGACAGAGTAAATTTAAAAGGCTCTATATCGTTGAAACTCTTATTTCTTTCTTTGATATAAGGGATGACTATATGACCGTGGAACTCAATATGTAGACCAGCTTGGTGATAAACTTTGCAGTGATTGCTGGTATTAGAGCTGTTGGCCACCACACCCAGCTCTGTCTTTGAGATCCCTTTGTAAGAAACAGATTTACATAAATATAAACTGCCATTTTGCAAATATAACATTGATTAACTAATATGACATTAATATAGTGCCACACTTATTTTTCGAAGTACCAGACTTCTAACCTCAAACAGGTACTTCACACACCTACCGTGTTCTGCTAAGCTGCAAGAGGGGTGAACAATGCCAGGCTGTGCCCTCCCTCCTTAGTGCCTCACACAAATGAGACCCACTCTCCCTGCCAGCTACATTTCTCCTTCTACTAAGCCAGTGGAAGCAGGTCTAGAGAAATGGACTCCTCTCCTTTCCAAGGTTCAACACCTCCTACAATTGGAGAAAGGAGACCTTGGCCACAGCTTCCTTTTTGCAATTTGAAGTTGGAAGAGGAAGAACTGGGATAACTCTCTTTTTCTTTCTTATCTAGCCCCCATACCCAATGGCCGTTCAGTCTAAGGCTAGGTAAGGGTAAGGTGGAAAGTCAATCCAATTAAAAGTAGGAGCTCTAAATTCAGGTTACCAGAAGAGAGGCTACAGTTTGTGGTCCACTTTTTCTGTGCAGCTGAGAGATGTCTAGAGGGCATAAGCTAGAAAAAGTAAACCACAAACTTTAGATTCTCTGTTGGTAACCTGACAGCACAGAGACCTATAGAATACAGATTCAGTAAACTGTGAGGAGGTTGGGCTAGGCTCTGTTCTCAAAGATGGGCCTCATGACTGTCTATCAAGGCCTCTTGTATTCTGCCCAGACGTTCTCAGTGACATCTGTCTGGCTTGTCTTCCAGGCTCCCCGGGCACAGCAGGCCGTGTGTGCAACTTGACTTCCCGAGGCATGGACAGCTGTGAAGTTATGTGTTGTGGCAGAGGCTACGACACATCCCACGTCACCCGGATGACCAAGTGTGAGTGTAAATTCCACTGGTGCTGTGCCGTGCGCTGTCAGGACTGCCTGGAGGCCCTGGACGTGCACACGTGCAAGGCTCCCAAGAGTGCCGACTGGACAACCCCTACATGACCTCAGCAGAGGTCATCATCTTTCTTCCTTTCCTCAAGGACTCTAATTGCATCTGCAAGGACACTGGACTCCTGGGTTGTCCCCAGGGGCTATTTCTCAAGACATGTGGCCTTCATCTCAATAGAAACCCCTTTTCCCTCTCTGGGTCCCCCAGAACAAGGCACCACAGGCTGCCACATAACTGTACCCTATTCTATCTATCTTGGGCATTCTGAGGTCACCTCTCTTCCTGCTGATTTCTTTTTGGAAATGGCATGACAGGCTGTTAGAGGAGGAGGGTCCTGGGCCCCCACCACTGTCACCTAGACATTTCCTCTTCCCTCGTTGGCCATTCGGAGAAACATCACATAATAGATGAACTCTCTCTGTGTCTTCCCACAGATTCTAACAGTTCAGAAAACCCGGTGCTTCCCTCTTGTGGGGGGGGGGAGGGAGTAAGGGTGCATATAGAGGGCAGAATCAACTGACACCAACTTTATTTGTATTTTTTTAAAAAGACTAAAACAAGGGCTTTAACTAAGTGATAACTGTTGCTACATCCTTAGTGATTACCTGGAGAAGGATGGCTTTTAATAAACATCAGGTTTAAAACATATGTTTTCAAAAATTTTATTGGATATTATGCTCTGATATGTGTATATATACACATATATATACATATATATGTATATATATATATACATACACACACATATATATGTATATGTATTCTAGAGTGTTCTTTGAGCCAGTGTTATTTTGAACTTTCCTGTCAGCCAACACCACAGAAAAGGATCTTTGTTCCTCACTGTCCCATCAATTTAGGGACTTGGAGGAGATGAGACTTCTCCCTGTGCTCTGCAGAGCATTTGAAGGGGGTGGATGATTTGGTAGCATTCTTTCACTACCAGGTAAATATGGTAAAAAAAAAATACTAATAACTTAGTGGAATATCAGAAGTGTTCTTGTATGGCTAACGAAAAAGAAAGCAGCAAAACCTCAATGAGGCAGTATGCCCATGACCAGTGGGGTTTTTGACTAAGACTACTTTGTACATGCAAACTCTAAGGAAAGTAAGACCAGTGTGGTGCTGACAGAGAGGTCTGAAGAGCCCAGGACCCCCTCCCTTACTCAGATGCCTAAGAGAGCTATCCTTGTGTGTTGAAGAACATTGGCTAGGACCCACCAACCTTAAGGCCTGACACTTTTATGTTTGTTTAATGCTTACAAGATGATGTGCAGCCTAGAGAAAATAGCACATAGTTTCGCCTTTAAAGTTGGCAACATTACATTGCGAGCAGTCTGCAACTTGGAGACTATATTTAAATAACCCAGCTGTAGTTATGGGAATATCAATGTGGAAATGGGGATTGACTTCTGCCAGGAAAGGACATTCAGAGAAAAATGGAGTGGCTGCCTGCCCCATGATTTTAGTGTTAGATGAAAGAAAGTGAACTTGATAAGTCTACTTCTCAACATGCTATGCAATCTGGTTCTTATTCTACATATAATTTCCTCACAGAGCTATATGAACCAACAGGACATCTCATGGTATACAATCCAGTATCAAATTGATACTTTCTCACTGTTGCACACTTGGGCCTTCATTTTTCCAACCTTGTCTAGATCACTCAGCCTGAGGCACATGGGAAGCAAATAGCTGGAGTTCTTTGTCAGACCTTAAAAATGACTTAACTCTAGTACTATCCTCCCCTCCTCCCTTTCTTTCCTCCCCTTGTAGTGACAGGGGTCAAACTAGGGTCTTGTCCTTGCTAGGCAAGTGCTCTACCCCTGAACCACATCTACAGCCTTCCTCTTTTTATTTCATGGATTCAGTAAGTAGGAACAATGAATCAGGAAAGCAGCAACTCAGGCCTTAGCATGGAGAAGGCCAGACTGGGTCCCAGCTCCCAGAATCCAGGATAGTGGGAAAGGTTTCATGAGGGTCCCAAAGCCACCATCACTTCTCACTACTAAATGCATGGTGAAATCTTAAATCCATGGATATATGTAGGGTAGGGAAGATTCCTAGAGGCTATCAGCGCTTTCCAGTTCAGGAAAACTAAAACCAAGAGGAGTGAAGGGACCCCTATGAACATCATCTGGAACCCCAATTCCCCATATAAGGAGGACCACAGAGAATGTGAAAGAGTCATTTGTCTATTCAAAAGAACATGCTTCTCTCACGTGAACGGAGTAGAGACCTCCTTTGGCCTCCAGTGGCCATTCATCTTTTTTATTATTGCTTAGATGTTAAATATATCTGAGTGTCTTTTCATGCTGGTATGTGTCCCCCTGATAAGCATCAAGGAAGCAAGGCCTATCCATATGAAGCCTGGAGAAAGTGCGCTGGTTTGGGAGAACATAGTAGCAGTCCCTGCAGAGGGCAGTGGGTCTTCACTGAGGGGAACAGAAGCAAAGGTAATGTTCTCATCGGTTTTTTATTCTAAAAGAACACATTTATATTTGAAAAAACAAAAAAACAGGTAAAGGTCATTTCAAACTCACTTTCCTTAGTAGAGGACTGATATTCTAGAAGTCTGAAATACACTAAGTCTTTGATTATCTTGAGCTTTTAAGGAAAGTATATCACATTAATTATCCAAACAAAACAAGGAGGAAGTCCATTCAGGTCAAATCCCCTGCAAGCAAAAGTCTTACTATAAATTGATTCCTTAAGCCTTGGTTAATTTTAACTAATTAATTTTCTGTACTATTTAAATACATTTCCACAATATATCTCGATTAACTTACTAAGGTTTTCTACAGAATAATCTTAACATGACCCTAAGATTTAGCTTGTATGTGGCTTTTTTTCCAACAGATTTTTTTCTAAATTTGTTTGGGTTGCTGACTGACGGTTGGCTATTGTTTTGACACATGTGTTGTCCACTAATCCTCCAATTATAAAGTACCCTCCCACACCATCTTCTAGGCTGAAATCAGTGTCCTAATTCAAGGGGTCAGTTCTCCCAGAAAAGGTCTTTAGCCTAAGCAGGAAAGACACAGAGCCATAACCATGCTGGGTTCCCAGTTGACACCTTCACTACCTGGTGGACTCCTGAGGGAGGGGCAGAGAGCTCTCCAGAACACTTCCTTATTGGGAGATACCAGGTTGGAACACAGACCTGGGAGGAGAACCTTCCGAAAAGCTGTTCATCTTAAGTGAGGCCAGATGATAGAATTAGGCATGAAGAAAAGAACCTGCTAGCTTTGGCCAAGTGATTGGCCCAGCTCTGTAATCATGGACAGTGGCATTTTCCATTCTTGTTGGTCATGCCTGCCCTTTCTACTGTTGTAGCTTCCCAGTCCCTACCACCAAGCACCTTCTTCCTGAGAGGCTGGGCTCTGGCTGGAACTCAAGTTCCTTACCCATTGGATAGCTCTTTGTACTTGAAATAGTCAACATTCATTATAAGATGATTTTTAAATTGTCACTACAATTATCTTTGGATTATTACTATTAAAAAAAAAACTCAGGTGTTGAATTGTTTTTTTCCAAAGAAGGTATCTTTAAAGTCAGAAAAGCAAGCTTCCCAATGACTGGCCCGGGCTCTGTTAATTTAGAGAGGATCTTTGCCATCTTTATGAGATCTACAGCAGGCTGTCTCAGAGCCCCTGAATGATGGTCCTTGTACATCCCTGACCATCTTCTCAGCTCCTAGGGGCTAGCCTGGGGCTCATGTCTCACACAGCTGAAATACATTCACCACACAACTACCACTTCTTACACACTCTCAGTACAAAGGTTCGGAGGCAGAACCCTCTTTTGTGCTTGATTACTGAATTTCAATCTGGCTTCCTTATCTTAAGAGTGTGGATTGTGCTCAACAAGCAGACCTTGGTAATTCTACAACTGGCAAATAGCCTTTGGGGGCATGTGTTGAGCTTCTCGAAAGACATGCTTGGCTGTGAGCTGACTGGTGAGGCAAAGCTGGCTCGACCTTCTTCTCCCAAGGCAAAGAAAAGTATATCCACTCATGAGGATATATATCCCTTACATTTTTCTAGGGATCAGCAAAGTGACAAGCAGTTTACCAAATCCAGAATGATCATTATTTTTCTAAATCATAGTTATTCAGGCCCTGGTTGTTTTTTTTTTTTTTTTTTTTTTCTTTCTCCTCATATTCCCATGGCTTCTTGTTTAACCAAACCTCCCACTTTCATAAGCTAATAAAAGTGTCACGTAGGTTGTTATAAAGAACTATTGTTATTTACAAATCGGCATTTTCTGTGAAGTCAAAACATAATAAAGTGACATTTTGGTGTTAGTTTTGTTATTTTAGACTCTTGCCAAACCTCTGCTATGAAATATGTTCAGGTTGCATAAACTATTCTCTCATCTTTTCTCAAGATCAGCCTTCCAACAACCCCATCAAGAGACATCCTTCATGTTTATAAAGAGTATCAGAACAAACAACAGACTCGATTCACTGATGCCTGTGCATGTGGTTGAATAGGTAAAAGTTACATTCAGGATTGCAGTATTATTCCATCTTTGTTCTGTGTTTCACTATGGCTGCTATGTATAATGCTTTGCTACTCTGGGTGCTAGCATGCTGTAACCCTAGTTATAAATTCAATGTCTATTTGTAGTATCTAATGCACTCCCATCAACCTTTCCAAATTGTTGCTTTTCCTGTAGAATGAAATGCCATTTTCTCAGCTTGATTAGAAAGATGAGATCACAAGGCCTTTCATTGAAATTTGTACATACTGACTATTTAGGCTAATTATTTCAAGCTCATGAAATGGGCACAAACCCTCCCCCAGCAAAGGAAATCTATTCTTCCCTGCTAGTCAATGTTCTAAGAATGATGGGATTCATCAAGGCTATCCCTAAACTTTAGGCATCTAGTGAGTAGATACGCTCACTAGCTTTCTCGAACTCAGTTGACTCTTCCAGAAATTCCTACAGCTACTTAGATTATCTGAAAAGGGGTGATTTTTTTCATTAGGGCATTTCAGAAAAATACTTTAAGCCAGAAATTATCAAGAGAAATTCCCTGTTTTTAAACCCTGTGGGCAAGGGAGCTGACCTGTACAGGGTAGAAGATACACAAGATAATCTGGCTTATAGCTAGTAGATGCTAGAAGCACATTTCTTCTCTTCTAATTGTGACAACATTTAGACATTATCAAAATATCCCCTGGTGAAAGAGGATGGGATGAGATGAAATGGTCCTTAGTTAAGAGCCAGTGGTCTAATATTTTCAACTAGTTCTCTTAAAATTTCAGTTAAGAACACTTTCCTCCCTTTCCCTATCCCATGATTCTCAGCATTGGTATATCAGATAGTCTGGAAAAACGTCTTTGTGAAAAGTACAGTCAGAGCCCTCAGCCTGTCACAGCACATAGAAAAGGAGATAAATATTAAAACCTATGCTACATATCCCAGGGGCCTGGGAAAGCATGAAGCATTTTGGTTTTAGAGGCTGGAAGCAAAATTCTTAGGATTTCCTCAATTACACAACACTTAATTTGTTGGGTTTTTGTTCTGCTTTGTTCTGTTTTGTTTAGCACAAAACAAAATTTACAATATATGGGCTGAAAGTCAGGAGAGTAAGAACATTACAACTCAGCATCAACAAAGTTGAGTAATTTTGAGTTCTCG